AGGAGGAGAAGGAGGAGGAGGAGAAGGAGGAGGAGGAGGAGGAGGAGGAGGAGGACAACGAGGACGAGGACGAGGACGAGGACGAGGAGGAGGTCGACGAGGACTAGGAGGAGGACATCGAGGTAGAAGAAGAAGAAAGGGGGGGCGGGGGGAGGAGGAGGTGTGGGACGGAGGGAAGCAAACTCACCTGGCGCGGGCGGGCGATGGCGCGTGGGTTGCGGCCGTTGGGCGTCGGAGTTCGGCAACTGCAACGCCGAACTCCACCGACAGGGCAGGGCGAAGTCGCGCGCGAGAGAGGGCCGCAGCGCCTCGGATTTCGAATTTGAAATCGGCCCGATCTGGGTCGTCGGTCTCAAAGATCTGACGGCCCAGATCGGGCCTTTTTCATTTTCGATTTTCGAGGCCCCACCGGCCTCGATAAATTTTTCCCTTCAGCCCTCCCGCTTCGACCCTGCCCGCTTATCACCCTCACGGCGCCCGATTCCCCCGCTCCCCCTAATTTCCCCACCGATTGGACACAGGGCCCCGGGCGGACGACCGACCGGTTGTCCGATCGGACAACCCCGGACGGTCAGGGGGGGTCCGGACGTCCGATCGGGTAACGTAGCTATTGTGAGTATACCCTTACTGCCATTATGTTGTTCCAACAGGTATCTTTATCAGCACTTTGTATCTCACATCACCTCAGCATAGTGCTGGGACACTATTATACTGGGTCAGCACTATGCCGCATCAGCATGATTCCACAGTAGTGCTTTGTGGGGTCAATGTGAAACAACCCTCTGCCATGTCAGCGTGAGGAAACCAGGGTTCACTGTCAATCAGCCGAGCTGTCAGTGTCTTTGGTTTTCCTGCTCCTATGGGCTCTACTACTACCCATTGTGAAGTTCATAGGTATCTTTTTTCACATTTTTGTTCGTCTTTCTATGTTACCCGGACACCTGGCTGGGCATTCCAGCAAGCCGCCTGGGCAGGCACCGGCGTAACTCAAAAGACCGGGATTTTTCTTTTTCTTGGATAGTGGTGGGGCATTTCTGCGCTTTCCAAGATCAGCCCGAATCTGGGTTTTCTTTTGTATTCTAGTGTGTGTTGGACAGGGAGGGAAAGCGAGGAAATAAGTGGGGACACCTGTGTTGCGCTGTATACACACACTGGCTATTTCACAGACCGTAGGATGGGGGTTACACACCCCAGGCAGGTTTTTTCTGTCGTTGGTACTGATCGTCAGTAGGCACAGTGTAGTTGTTCAAAGGGCGCTCATTTTTGGGGAGGGGTTTACGGGGAGGAACGGAGTTGTTTGCAGCTGGACCAGTTGAAGGGCATGGGCTTTCACCCAGTCCTCTGAAAAAATGAAGCGGTGCAGGGTACCTAAGTGGTGCAGCCCAGGCCTGCACGCTTCAGGTGGTTTCATGCCCAACCAGCCTCCCCAATGCACTTCAGTCTCTGTTCTGAATCAGAATGTGTTTCTGCTCCGGATTCAGAGACGAAACGGTTTAAATACTGCCACAGCATGGGCTGAGTGTCTCTCTCTCTCTCTCACACACACACACAGACATACATGCCTTGTGCAATGAGGATTATGAAGGGATAGCCCATGCGAGTTTTTGTTTTCATACATACGATGACAGTCAATACTGCACTCATGTACGGCACCCTGAAATGTCGTGTCCAATTTGTAGACCGGGGCTGGAACGGCAATGCCTCTACAATTGTGGTCGGTGTGACTCTTTGTTCCTAGCATGTAGGAGCCATGTGGCCGGTGACATCTGTCTACGCGGTGCAATTTGATGCAGCGACTGTGACTGTGAGAATTGGATGCGGTGCTTCCACAGTCCACAGCCGAACCAGTCCTGTCTGGTCTGTTGGGGTGGCCACTTACCACAGGCAACGGCTGCTCCTCAACTCAAAATCTTATGCAACCCAAACACTGACTGGCCTCATTTGCCATTCTAGAGTAGTCTGTTCCACTGGTGAGTAATTAGAACCCTGTGAGAACGCCACCCCCTATTGCCTTCCTCCCTCCTCTTCTGTACTATTAGTAAATGCATACGGGCGAGTGCCATTAAGAGAACAGACAAAATATCACCAGATGATCTGAGGAAAAATGAACAGGAATTTACCTCTGTAATGAACCCCGTCTGGAAGGAAACTCGTCAATGTCGAAATACAAGATATTTCAGCGCCTGTCAGTATGTCCAATAATCATAAGATGCGATCTGAAGTACAATGTCTCGTAACCAGAGGACGAACCTGATAGTTGGGAGATAAGACTTAGAGGGTGGAAGAGAAAGTATCCATCAATGTCCATTGTAGATAGAGCTCCCTCATAACCCACTCCTTCTTTGGGCATCTCCCCTCTTCCATGTCAGCAAACTGTATCCCAAAGACGAGCCTGTTAAGATCCGATCACAACATAGTGCCACGTAGGCCCAGATCTCTAATGAAGACGTCACAGCAGCGCGCAATGTTGACAACATTAACCAGGTAAGCTTCCCTCTCTTTCTCTCACAACCAATCTCAAAGACCTAATCTCCCTCCTCGTCAATATCCCAATCTGTGTCGAAGACAATGTGGCAAGTGCCACATCAGCAATCAAGTATATACCTGGCGCCAAGAGCAGAAAGGCGCTAGCACGCAATGCAACAGTTTTTCGTCGTCGTCACACACAATGCCAGCGTAGTGCCAGCGGCAAGCCAGCGTCTAGCCAGCGTCCAGCCAGGGTCGTGCCAGCGTCAAGCAGCAATGCAAGACTAAATGTCGACGAGCAGAGGTTGGGTTAATAAGTAGTGTTGACGCAGTTGACCAGTGTCTAGTCTCCCAGGTATGAAGGCTCATATTAATTCACAGTCGATTGCCTGGATTGCATACAGCTGCAGATCTCCACTTGGACCAGATTCTGCCTAGATACCTGCTTACAGCCAAGTTTGTGTGTCTGATCGGTGGCCTGGACTGGGGCCATGCAGACTTTGACTCGTGAGCCTTATTTTTCCGATTTACAGACTTCAGTCAACTGTCGGACGCAGGGCCTCTGAGGCTACATTTTGGGCCTGGTCGGGATACGGTTTGGCGTAGGGCCTTGCTGCGCGGCGGCCCTTAGCCGATGTCAGTAACATATTTTGAGCAGGTTATTGCATTCCTGCTGGCTCAATTTTCGAGTTCCATCGCAGAAATTCATTACATTTCAATCCACGCTCATATGTAGAAACAATGTCGGGAGTAGTAGGTAAAAGTTCTTTCTTACTGAACCATCTGCTTTCAGACGGAGGTTGAGAAGTGAACTTCACCTTGAACTGCTTTTGTGACCTTCCTCTGCCAT